CAACCACCCACGGTCCCAACTCTAGATCGAATAATCGACATTCCACCGTAATATTTTCCTGCGCTCCATTCAACACTTGAGTTCAAAGCAATGGTTTCCCGTGTTAGACCAGATTCTCTGCATTTCATAAATACATTATCGCAAAAAACTTTATTGCAAATAGTGTGCTCGAAAATTGCTTTTGTTACGAACTTACTTTTCTAAAAGGATTTAAAATAAACTATTATATTTTTGGCAACAGTTAATGGAAATGTATATTTTCCTCTGTGAAAGAATTGTTCAGATGATGGTAAGATGACGTTGTGTGTCACTTTATAGCTTTATTTGGCACCGGAAATATCTAAAATTTTATGGGTACTAAAATATTTAGCTAGTTTTGGTTTTTTTTATATATTTTTTTTAAGTCTAGATTTTTTAATGGTTGTTTTTGAGGTGCCCTCTGACTCTTTGTGCCTTCTTTCTCTTGGTGCCCCAAGCACTTGCTTACATTGCTTAATTGGTTAGTGCGGGCTGGTTGTAAGGGCTACGTATGGTAATGTTTTTATTTATTTGTTTTATTTAAACCATTTATTTCGATAAACTACTTCATTTGCAAATGCATGTTTTAAAAATATTTCCAAACAAAAAGCAATGATAATGCACCAAAAGTTAGAGTGCTGAACTCCCGCATCATGAACGCGTACATGCGTTTGTCAAACGCGCGTAATTCAAGTCACAACGTGTTCCCAGAAGTCAAAAGGAAGATGTGTTGAGCAGTTGTAATTCGAAATGGGTCTCTCGTTAGAGGGAACAGTATTCATATTTGACATTTTGAAATGTAAGTTTTCGTGACCTGAGATCGAGTTTTAAAAAGTTGACACAGACATTTGCAATTTTATGAACTATTTAAAAAAATATATATTTCCAAGTTTAACCAGATACAAAGTGAGAAGACTGTACTTTTTTGGAAAGGTCTATAAATTTGTAAAGACAATCGTTATGATTTGTGAATGAATGAACAAAAATTATTGTGCCATTATACGATTAACACCCTGTCCTACTTTAAAATTTGATCTCGTTTTGTAAAGAAATAGAAACCATATTAAAACATTGCCAGAGTTTCATACTTAGAAAGAACGATTTTAGTATAATTTGAGAGCCCTCGTAGTGATGGAAACTTAGTTTAATTCTTCATTTTCCCCAATTTAGGCCGCACTTATTTCTATATCCATAATGTAAGACCGGCCCTGACACCTAAATGAACTGTACCGAAAAGCTGGCATCTTGAACGCGTACATCAATCGTCAAATTTATTTACATTGGGACTTACGGATTTGAAGACTTAAAAAAAAAAGTTACATATAAAAATTTGATGAATTATGAGATAAAATTATGTTCTTAACATTAACTGCAAGCGTTCACAATCTTCTCTCTGGTGTTGAATTGCCGGTGTGATAATGTGGCAGCGAGCTAAAACACTTTCTATTTTGGATTAAAATATCAATTCTTTTCTAGCCGCCAAACTTTTGCTCTGAATGGGTGTATTTGATTTCTTTGCTGGCTTTATTAAAAAGTTGCATATTTTTTTTTTTAAATATTGACGACAAAGTTTAATGTAAAAAAAAATTATTTTCAATTTTATTTGAAATCCTCTTATTATTTTTGTTCTCATCTCTTAATGGGTTTCCTGGTTATTAAAGAGTGTACACGTCACTTCCGGGAGGGTGATTGATTCCATGGAACATAGTACAATGGCATGACCAAAAAAAAAGGCAAAAAATGATTTAATTAAAACATATTTCACTTCCTTGTAACATAATACACTTTATGTTTAGGTATTTTACTGAAATAATGTTTTATGAACATAGCCATAATTTAGCAGCACATTTAAACAGAGGTCAGGCTTCAGTAGCAAACTGTGGAGAACAGCTTCAAAATCTATTGAGGCTCATCAGCAACCTCCCGTCTTCCAGAGAAGAGTGTTTAAAATGTTGTGACGCCGAATCCTCTGTGAGTGGACTTGCTGAATGGGTCGTCTTTGCTTCACGTGTCACATTTGATAACATCATCGAATTGCTGTTGTTCTATAGATTTACGTTTAGATTTTCTTTCAGCAAGATTATGCTCTCAATCTCTTTACTCCTTTAAACATCCCCAGAACTTTTCGCTGTCATGCGCAGAATTCCAGACCTGTTTACCGCTGGGTTGGTGTCAGATTAGTTTTGAGGCTCTAAAAAAACGCTGTTTCAAGCTCCAAAGAGGAGTTTGGTCAATTTGGGGGGGGGGGGGGGGGGGGGGCGGGTTTGCAAAAAAAAGGGGGGGGGGGGGGGGGGGTGGTGCTGGTTTGCAATAAAAAAAAACAAGTTTTGTCAGGAAATCCACGAAATGCTAATGTAGACTAAAAATAATAAACGTACAGGAAATGGTTCTCCGATTTGTTGGTTAAGGATGAGAAAAGGTCTTAGGCACGTACAAAAGGCATGGACTTGTTTGACTGATAGGCATCTCGGAGCTAAAATTCATGACTATTGCAACACACCAGTTTTTTGGTGTAATATGAAAACAAGTATAACTTTGTTAAATTAAAAACAATATTGAAACACAAGAAAAAAATTTAACCAATAAAGGTGTATCCACGTCTATATTTAATTACATTTCCCATTAACAGCGCATATTTTTCACCAGTTTACCCTAAAAATATTTTAAGATTTTTTTCCTTGATTTTGAAAGTTCTGAAAACGTTCAGCAATGCTTCTAGTTTCTGCAAAATTCTAGAATATGTATTTAGCTGCCACAAGTGGAGAACATCTTTCATGTCTGAACTCAATGTCTTTTACTTGCGAGGACAATTAATGAAGTGTTAGAATAAACACACTTTAGTGTCTATAAACATCTGTAAGAAGGCTTCATATTTGGACACATTGAGAGCTTGACTGAGAAGTTCCAGAAGTGAATTAATGAGGTGGGTGATAAAGATGATAGACTTTTCTTAAAAATGTTCGCCTCCAGATGGCAAGTGAGGACTGGCCTGCAAATATGTTTGCTATCAATAAATCTAATAGAGTGTAGTAGTGATGACTTGCTAAACACCGGTTGCCACCTAACCTTTATCACTATTTAATTTTTTTTTTTCTCTCCTAAGCAATATCAGTATTTAAAGGTGCTGTTGTTGAGCATTATTTTATTAACCCTAGAACCTGAATATAGAAACAAAAAAGAATTAATATATTATTATCATATTAGGCTCAAATATTTCATATATTATATATTCTTTTTATTATACTATTTACACCAGTATTAAAATGGTAGAGATTAGAGATACTAAAACAGCCAAATGCAGTGACGTAGGACTGAGACAAGAAGTGCGGAAGAGGGGGTATCAAGAACAGTTTGAACAATGAAAATACAAATGGTGGCATTTAATGTTAATTTTGCGCTGTTATTAGTGAACTACCAAATTATAATTTAACAAAATAACCTAGGCCTTTAATTTGTTTAAAGTCAAGGGATTGGTTTGTTTCTGAAGATTTTATAAAATGGTAGAGTAGTAAGTTAAGAAAAGCGGTCGCGTATCGCGTCATATGTTAAATTTAAAAATCAAATTCCTCTGCTTTGATCATAATCATAGCATAAGGTAGAACTTCGACTCATAAGTTAGGTTTCTTCTATTACTATTATTCGAATTCTTATTTTTTATAATTATTAGGCTTACTGCAAACACGTAAAAAAGTAGGCTACGGTTAAGTTTGGTGAAAATTTAGTCTAAGACTTAGTAGCAGACGGATCAGTTTAATTTCATGTTTCGTCATCGGACACATAGTTGACAATTAAAAGCTAGAAAAACTAAAATTAAATAATTATTGACTTTAATAAAACATATTTGTACACTTTACTTACCTTCAATTATGTTGATAGGTGAGCGTTAAGGAAGAAAAAAAACGTTCAAGGCATAACGGTTTCGTTTTTTTTTTAAAATTTGAAAATATCCGAAAATGCATGCGCAATGAAGGGGAGACCACTTAGTTATTAGGGGAAACCACTTACAGTAATTAAGAGCACATTTTTAATCCAAACGATGAACAACAGTAGGGTTAAAAATAGACGACGTATTGTGAAACTATTATGACAACACAATCCTCTAAATGAAAAATATTCTGGTTGGTTCATTGAGATCGAGACCACAAAGGCCAGTCACTGTAATTCTTATTCGATTGCCTACGGTGTTGTCACCAAAAAAATGTGGTAACTTTTTACTGAAGACACCCCAATTATTTATTTTTTTATTAAAAATAAACCAAACAAACGAAAACCTCCCTAAACCGTAGTTTTCTTTAGGCTCGTCGTAGTGCCGTAGTCTTAGGCTTATACACATAATTACTGCGTCGATAGGGTAGGGGTAAACAGGTCTGGAAATTCCCGCAGCCTTCGCCGGCTCAAGCTTTTCTTTTGCCTCCCGTGACAAGTTGGTGCTGTCCACTCTGCTGCTGTAAGGAGAATACTGAGTACCAGAGGCGTAGCTAAGGGGACGGGGGGGGGGCAGATGGTCCTGGGCGCTATACTAGTCAGGTCCGCCAAAAATGTGCTATGACATTATTGCATTAATGAAAATAATGGGGGTTTTTTGTGTACGTTGAAAAAGAAAGGGGGGGGGAGTGCTTTAAAAAGATCGTGTCAATACTAGTCAGGTCCGCCAAAAATGTGCTATGACATTATTGCATTAATGAAAATAATGGGGGTTTTTTGTGTACGTTGAAAAAGAAAGGGGGGGGGGAGTGCTTTAAAAAGATCGTGTCCCCGGTCACCAAACACTCTAGCTACGCCTCTGCTGAGCACCCATGCCTTTTTGTACTTTCTCGTTGCTTTCAATCAGACATTATAAGCTGCTGCCTTATCAATTCAAAGTAATCTGAACTGAAATATTGAATCAACGAACATATTTAGGCATATAATTAAATCTTAAATATTTTCCAGTGTGCAGTGGGTTTCGGTCATTTCGAGATTAATTTCTTGAGGTACATTGACAGCTGTTATGAAGGAGGTCTCAGTTATGAATGTGACCCCCTATTTACGCTCTGCCTGGGACGCCCAACAAGGTAAGCTATGAGTATAAATGAGAAGGTGAGTATTTAAGATTTTTATTTTCTTTTAAAAAGGAGTCGGGAATTATTATTATTTAAACTTGGGGAAATAATATTTTAGGCAAAGGTAACAAGAAGTGATTGGAAATAAAATAAAATATAATTTTAACACGGAGTGAGCCATCTTGGAGAATGTTGATTTGAAGTCATCATTGATTCCTTCTTAACTTAAAAAGCCCGATTAAAAAGACCTAAAATTCCAATTAAATTGTTTAAGCGATTAGAGGGACGAGTAGAAAAAAGTGTTTGCACAAGGCCTTTACAAAATTAACGTGACCCTAATGCCGGGGTTGTCTGGCCTTAATGCTGGGATTTGAGTGGATCCCAAATGGCGGTCCGTGGACCTTCACCGGTCCGCATACCTAACGCTGCCGGTCCCCATAACATAAATATTTATTGTCAAATAGAAATAAAAGTATAAAAGTAAATCATGCACCGGTCCCAGGTAAAATTTCGAAACTTGTTCACCGGTCCGCCCAACTTAAACGTTTGGGAACCACTGCTCTACGTTGTCTAGGAGTAGGTCCCCACCGTATGGCCCCAGAAAACATTTTAAGAGTCTAAAACTTTGTGCTGTCTACTAGCCCCTGGAATTTTGATGTGTAGTGTGTAGTCAAATAATCACCAGATTGTTCAAGGTTAAAGTTTCTTTATTTATTTATATACTGTGTCAAACAAAAGTCCACAAAAATGCCCCACAAGTTATTATTGGGGTTCACAATAGAAATGTATGTGTCCCAGAAAGAATATCCGCTGAAAAAAATTAAGAAGCACTCCACTACTAAAAATACAAAGATTTACCCCTAGCAAAATCATTAAGTTTCTCTCGTATTTAAATTAAAATTCGTCTCTCCTATCACAAACAATATAACTTCCTACATCACTCAATAGTGTTCCTTTTCTCTCACAATATGTGCATAACTTTTATACCTCGAGTTACGAGCAACACTCAGACGAGGCCATGCGTGGCTGCAGGGATGTCATTTGGTGGGATTGGGGGGGGGGCATTGCCTTCCTTAATGTTCAGGTGTTATTTAAATTGGAAAGTACTGTTGCGCCTCTAGTAATAAACAACTGAAAAAGCCTGCCAAATTTTGGTGCCCCCCCCCCACACACTCCCCGATAACCCTGAAATGACGGCCCTGCGTGGCTATTCTAAATGCGCGATTAAAGAGACTCTAACAACATGCAAAAAAAACTACCATCATTCACCCACATAACATCCCAGACATCACGGCCCGACAAAGGTGACCTATGGGCTTCCGATGTAACACAGGTCTTTCAGGTTAACTGTTCTATATTATTTTTTCATCAATTTTAACCCTGCAATCCCCTGCAATCCCCTCAACCCCCCCCCCCCCAACAGTGACACGTGCTCGTATGGAACTGCTAAAGCAACCAAAGACTTTCACAATACGAACTACATCAACATGGCCAGCTTGTCAGATATTAATGGCATTCCAAACCCTTGGATTGTCTACATTTCTTATCTTACGGTAAGTCCAGTAGGCGCCAAAATGACCAGTACAAAAACACCTGCTCCTTGAACCCGTATGGCGTTTGTCGAGGGTGCTTGACACAAGTCGTGAATAAAAAAAATATTTTTAGAAAACTTTTTTTAAAACTTACTAAAAAGTAGAAAATAATTGAGACGTTCTTAAAATGCATTAGGCAAAGAAAGACTGTCCAGAAGTGTGTCGCCAAAGGATTCGATTTGAATATAAAAGAATCCTAAATGTTTTTTTTTTTTTTTTTTACAAATTTTTGAAAGTATTTCCCGCCAATAGTTTTTTTGTTGTTGGCGTTTTGCCTTTTAAGAGATGTTAATTATCTTTCTGAAGACTCCCTAATTGCGTTGGCCAAATTTGAATATAAAAAAATCCTAAATGTTTTTTTTTTTTTTTTTACAAATTTTTGAAAGTATTTCCCGCACATAGTTTTTTTGTTGTTGGCGTTTTGCCTTTTAAGAGATGTTAATTATCATTCTGAAGACTCCCTAATTGCGTTGGCCACTACGATGAAACATCTCGGGGCAGTCTCTCGTGGCACCTTCGGTCGGAGGGGGGGGGGGCGGTACGGCTCGAGTCATTTTTGCCATTTCTTCAGAATAATCATAAGTAACAATTTACAGCCTGACTGTGTTACTGGAGCCATCATTTGAAATCTCTCTCGAACTGGATCTGCCCTTTAATTTTTTTCATTTAAAATAAACGTTTTTTTAATACGTATGTTTTTGTTTTACGGATGAGCGGAAATAATGCCGAGCAATGAATGGTGTTTCCTTCGTGGCGAGAGATCTTCCAACTAACAGAGCCCCGAAATATCTACATTTCCACTACCGAGAATACACGGCAGCTTGGACGAATCAACTTTGATAAACGCATGACGCGATCTAGAAGTGGACATTTCAGTTCTGTTAATTTTGGCGCATACTGTATATGTGTTACGTGTACATTTTATTATAAAGTGTGTTATTCACACTTACTTTGTTGTGTTTTTTTTAAAGTGAGCTTAGGGGCGGGGATCGTTCTAAAACTAAAGTCATTGTCATTTTCCTTACACCATCTGATGTAATTTACTGAAGGGGGTCCTAATAAAAACTCTATTTCAAAAACGGACTTTAGATAAGTTAATTAAGGAAGGTGACGTGGTTTTTAAATGTATATCAATCATAAATAAACATTACGTCATCTTTGAATTTACTCAATAGAACAGGCCTGCATAACATATGGCCAACGGGCCTGCACAACATATGGCCAACAGGCCTGCACAACATAAGGCCAACGGGCCTGCACAACATATGGCCAACAGGCCTGCACAACATATGGCCAACAGGCCTGCACAACATATGGCCAACAGGCCTGCATAACATATGGCCAACAGGCCTGCACAACATATGGCCAACAGGCCTGCATAACATATGGCCAACGGGCCCGCCAGCACCCACTTGGCTCCCCGAGAAGCAACGAAATATTATTTATTCTTATTATTTTCTTAATATCTTCCCACCTGTCCTATTTTCTTGTGGCTCGCACAAGTTTTTCATAAAGTATTACAGCCCGCCTTACATTTTGATTTGTGCAGGCCTGCACTAGAATCTAAAATAATTAGTATTGTAACCGACCAAGACTCTTAAAATGTTACAAACACGCAGGCGATACTTGAACATCGATTGAATGCAGGCCTTGATTTAATGCCGACATTAATGTAACATTGATCCAAATCACAATAGCAAGTATAACAAGGCTCAGTTGGCTTCAATTGTTTCAAATACATATTTTTTTTTTAAAATAATTTATTTTCAAATGAAAAACAACTCAGAACCCTAACCTCCATGTTACTAGCCATTTAGTTTAGTCATTTTTAAATGAACAGTCTGTCAATCTATCGATATTCATCTCTGCTAGCAGTCAGCAAGGTGTACATGCGCTTGTACACTGACATGATTAAGTTCTGAAGTAGTTCTGAAGGAACTTCTGAAGAGGTTTTGATGAAGTAAATATGTGCTCAGCGGCTTTTGATTCTTTAGAGTTATATCTCTTTAACAGGAGCCTTCGGTACGACTCACGATAACAGTGGAGGATGCTGACCCCGGTTTCGATGATTACATGGCCTCCTTTGTTATAAATTTGTCAGTCCCCTCGGTGTCTACTAATGCATGGTCAACATATGAGCTAACAGAACAAATTTCATACCGGTGAGACCATTGACATACCTTGAGTGACCTCCATTTGGACATTTGAAATCTCAGCATTACAATGTGAAAATAGTATATGGGAGAAATGTAGAAACATCTCTCTCATCGCTTTCTCTCTCTTTCTTTCTTTCTTTCTTTCTCACACTCTCTCTGTTCTCTTTCTTGTGTCTTTCTCCCCTCTATATCTTGCTTTCTTTATCTCTCTTTCCTTACTTCTTACTTCTTTCGATCTCTCTTTCTCTCTTTTTCTTTCTTTCTCTCGCTCATTATTTCTTTCTCTCCACCTTTCTTTCTGTCTTTCTCTCTCTCTTTCAAGGAATCTTTTCTATATTTTCTCGATCTCTCTCTCTCTCTTTCTATTCCTCTCTTTAACTCTTTCATTCCCTTTCTCTCTTTTTTCATTCTTTCTCTCTCTCTTTCTGTCTTTCATTTCCGTTCCCTTTCTTTCTTGTTCTCTTTCAATTTTCTCTCTCTCTGTTTCTTTAATTCTGTTTCTTTAATTCTGTTTCTTTAATTCTGTTTCTTTAATTCTGTTTCTTTAATTCTGTTTCTTTAATTCTGTTTCTTTAATTCTGTTTCTTTAATTCTGTTTCTTTAATTCTGTTTCTTTAATTCTGTTTCTTTAATTCTGTTTCTTTAATTCTGTTTCTTTAATTCTGTTTCTTTAATTCTGTTTCTTTAATTCTGTTTCTTTAATTCTGTTTCTTTAATTCTGTTTCTTTAATTCTGTTTCTTTAATTCTGTTTCTTTAATTCTGTTTCTTTAATTCTGTTTCTTTAATTCTGTTTCTTTAATTCTCTTTCTTTAATTCTCTTTCTTTAATTCTCTTTCTTTAATTCTTTCTTTCTTTAATTCTTTCTTTCTTTAATTCTTTCTTTCTTTAATTCTTTCTTTCTTTAATTCTTTCTTTCTTTAATTCTTTCTTTCTTTAATTTTTTCTTTCTTTAATTCTTTCTTTCTTTAATTCTTTCTTTCTTTAATTCTTTCTTTCTTTAATTCTTTCTTTATTTAATTCTTTCTTTTTTTAATTCTTTCTTTATTTAATTCTTTCTTTCTTTAATTCTTTCTTTCTTTAATTCTTTCTTTATTTAATTCTTTCTTTATTTAATTCTTTCTTTATTTAATTCTTTCTTTATTTAATTCTTTCTTTATTTAATTCTTTCTTTATTTAATTCTTTCTTTATTTAATTCTTTCTTTCTTTAATTCTTTCTTTCTTTAATTCTTTCTTTCTTTAATTCTTTCTTTCTTTAATTCTTTCTTTCTTTAATTCTTTCTTTAATTCTTTCTTTCTTTAATTCTTTCTTTCTTTAATTCTTTCTTTCTTTCTTTCATTCTTTCTTTCTTTAATTCTTTCTTTCTTTCTTTAATTCTTTCTTTCTTTAATTCTTTCTTTCTTTAATTCTTTCTTTCTTTCATTCTTTCTTTCTTTAACTCTTTCTTTCTTTAATTATTTCTTTCTTTAATTCTTTCTTTCTTTCTCTCGCTCTCTTTTTCTTATATTCTCTCTATCTCTCTCTTTCTTATAGAGAATATAAGAAATAGAGAGAGAGATAGAGAATATCTCTCTCTCTCTTTCTTATATTCTCTCTCTTCCTCCCCCCCCCATCTCTCTTTTACACTCTCTTTCTTTATCTTTCTATCTCCTTTCGCGTAAACAAATAAATCCACTTTATATTTATAATCCTATTAGTCCGGACTCATCACAAACACAAAAAAGTTTTTTTTTTAATTATTAAAATACTTTGAACTTGTATTACAAAACTTGAAACGCATTGACACAAATGTTCAACTATTAACATTAGACCCACAATTGTTATATTTCTTATCAAAAGTATTTTATATTCTTCTGTGCATTCTTTAATATCTCATTTGTTATGTGAATTTGTTGCATGCACTCTCAGCGCCTTATCAACTGCTCACCCACTTTAAAAAATGATTTTATATATTTTATTTCATATCACGAAAAGAAAATATCTTATAATCCCGCGCATCAAACCAACATCTCACAACCTTTTTTCCTGACATCTACCACACCCTCAACCCGTTCTTCATCCCCCAAACCTCACTCGTCATCGCTCCCACAACCTCAGTCTCATTCTTTCAACCCTCCAGTCTCTCTTTTTTTACCCATTCGCCCTTTTTTCACTTTCTCTACACCCCCCCCCGGCCCTTCAAAGCCCCCCATGTGTGGTTACGTTGCAAAATGGATTTTCTATTCGTGGTCTACAATGTATGGGCACAAGGGGGCTCAGAGTTATTTTAGGTGGTTTTTTTTTTTTTTTTTTTGTAGTGGCAACTGTAGACGTTACAGGAGTGGCTTGGTGCAGCAAGGGTTAATGAGACAGACAGATTTGGTCAAGTCTGCAATTTTATATTTCAAATCCACTTTATAATACAGGGTAGAAAGTCTAAAAAGCCAATATCTAAAGTTGAAACTATAGTATGGAAATACACTATATACATTCGAGCACAACAACCTTTGATATCAAAATGACATTACAAAGCCATTCCGATCGTAGCAGCATGCATAATTGGAATACATTTCCGTTTATTTTCTTATCTTCTGCAGAATCAGCTTTCAGTACAGGTTTGTTTGTGATCTTAATTACTATGGTCAGCTTTGCGATAAATATTGCATACTCCAAAACAAGTCTGGTGGACATTACTGGTGTGAGGCTGGGACAGGGAAGAAGATATGTCTGGAAGGTGTGAACCAATCTATTTAACTCCAGCAATCAGTTTTGAAAACGAAAAGATTAATGAATATTATATGTTATTATAGCTCAATTTAAAGACTTATGAATGTTATGTGTTTTTATAGCACAATTTAAAGATTTGTGAATATGACGTGTTTTTATAGCACAATCGAAAGATTTATGAGTATTGTGTGTTTTTATAGCACAATTTACTGGCTCTTACTGCCTTGCGATTTAAAAAGGAAATATTTTTTATATTAATTATGTTCATGCTTGTATCAACTTGTCAACAACAAAAATTATCAAACTGTTTTTATATAGCATCAATCAATTTAAACATTGTACCCAAAAATGGTATTTCTGTAGATAAAGCTTTAAGCAATTTAAGATGAGTATTGTGTCATCGTTGACTTCAACTGGAATTAATGATGAATTGAAGTGTTTCAACTTGTCTCCTGTGTAGGATGGAAGGGCAGTAATTGTGCAGAGGACGTGGACGAGTGTGCGCAAGGTTACTGCGCCAAGGGAACATGTCAAAATCTACCTGGAGATGTTACGTGTAGTTGTCCTGATAATTACACAGGTAGGAGAGAGAGAAGAGAGAAACAAAGAGACAGAAAGATTGAGAGAGAAAGATAAATATAACTAGAGAGAGAGAGAGAAGACAGCGACATGGACAGAGAGACAGACAGACAGAGACATGGACAGAGAGACAGACAGAGACATGGACAGAGAGACAGACAGACAGAGACATGGACAGAGAGACAGACAGACAGAGACATGGACAGAGAGACAGACAGACAGAGACATGGACAGAGAGACAGATAGACAGACAGAGACATGGGCAGACGACAGACAGACAGAGACATGGACAGACAGACAGAATCATGGACAGAGAGATAGACAGACAGAGAAATGGACAGAGAGACATATAGACAGAGAGAGACATGGACAGAGATACAGACAGACAGAGACATGGACAGAGAGACAGATAGACATACAGAGAAATGGACAGAGAGACAGATAGACAGAGAGAGACATGGACAGAGAGACAGATAGACAGAGAGAGGCGGAATGTACGATACATTTCCCAAAGTGAACAATCCAGCAAAGACACATCAACTATGTACATAATTAACCATATACGTATTAAATATTATGTTTCATAAACCGTTTGGCGCTATAAAATCTGACCCCATACAACATAATTGTATGTTTTTCTTATAACTGTTGAGGTGGCAATGTTTAGTTTGTGTTTATGAAGGGAGGTGGCAATGCTTAGTTTGTGTTTATGGAGGGAAGTGGCAATGTTTAGTTTGTGTTTATGGAGGGAAGTGACAATGTTTAGTTTGTGTTTATGGAGGGAAGTGACAATGTTTAGTTTGTGTTTATGGAGGGAAGTGACAATGTTTAGTTTGTGTTTATGGAGGGAAGTGACAATGTTTAGTTTGTGTTTATGGAGGGAAGTGGCAATGTTTAGTTTGTGTTTATGGAGGGAAGTGACAATGTTTAGTTTGTGTTTATGGAGGGAAGTGACAATGTTTAGTTTGTGTTTATGGAGGGAAGTGGCAATGTTTAGTTTGTGTTTATGGAGGGAAGTGGCAATGTTTAGTTTGTGTTTATGGAGGGAAGTGACAATGTTTAGTTTGTGTTTATGGAGGGAAGTGACAATGTTTAGTTTGTGTTTATGGAGGGAAGTGGCAATGTTTAGTTTGTGTTTATGGAGGGAAGTGACAATGTTTAGTTTGTGTTTATGGAGGGAAGTGGCAATGTTTAGTTTGTGTTTATGGAGGGAAGTGGCAATGTTTAGTTTTTATTTTAGAAAGGGGAGGGGGGTGTTTTTTCTTTCATGTTTCGTGTCAAACTTTCTGGTTGAAATCAAACTATTGTCCCATCTAAAAATTTCTAATTAATCACCATTTTTTTTTATTGTACATTTATTTAACCAGGAAAAAACTGCTCCCAAGCGTGTCAGTTTACGCCTTGTGAACATGACGGTTGCAAGCTTCGGCCGTGTGCAAACAATGGCACCTGTATTGACATGTAAGTGTTCCCGTTTGTTTCGTACCATTATTTATATCAGGAAGGCAACAGGTCATTTCAGATTTCTAAGATTTCCAAAAACAGGAATTTTCAACTTTCAAAAATATATTTTATCCCAAAAAGTCGCTTCCACGATTGCTTCCCCTCGAGTTAATAGATAACGCAAGGAAGGCATCTGAAGACTTTTGAGGCGTAATGAGATAGGATATCTATTTAAAGACATGGGTTACAGACTTTATAAATCTGTGAAAGTTTGACAGACAAAAGTTAACATCGAGTGATAAAACATCCGATTGAACAGACTAACTCAACAAAGTCGTTGAAATTAACGATACGAAGAAATTGAAGGAATTTAACGACGTATTTAATTTTCTCAGTTTTTAAAAATAAGTTTGAACATTGCGCACATGCTAATATTAATTCTAGGTGCATATGATGGAAAAAAATCTCCAATTATGCTTAATGATTACAGTTTAAGAGCCGTCTATTACTATAATCTCTTATGTACGTTCAGCCCGTGGATGCAGTGATCAAGCAGTTTGACATGCTATATCACATTAAGCTGATCTTAAAATGCTAAACATATTTACGTATTGTATTCAACTCTTATAAGGGCTTCAATGATAACTTTAAATAATTTTCCCATTTCTCTCTTGGTCCCTCAACTGTCTGTGACCGTCAGAACCAACCAAACCGCCATATGCCTTTGCCAAAGTCCTTTAACTGGACCGTACTGTGAGACATTGATGACACTGCCACCAACAACAACCACAGAAGTAATGACATGTAAGTAATCAAAGATTTAATGTCAAGTAAGTAATAACAACAGAAGTAATGTCAAGAAAGTAATAACAGCAGATGTAATGTCAAGTAAGTAATAGCAACATAAGTCATGTCAAGTAAGTAATAACAACATAAGTAATGTCAAGTAAGTAATAACAACAGAAGTAATGTCAAGTAAGTAATAACAACAGAAGTAATGTCAAGTAAGTAATAACAACATAAGTCATGTCAAGTAAGTAATAACAACATAGGTAATGTCAAGTAATTAATAACAACATAAGTAATGTCAAGTAAGTAATAACAACATTTTTAAAAATATTATTGAAAATGGAAAAGGGGGGGGGGTGCCAATTTCGACTTACTGTTGAGTTACTCGTGGAGGGGCGGCAACAAATTTTGGACTACCCGCTAGCTACGCCTTGGCAAAAAAGATCAACAACAGAAGTAACGATAAGTAAGTTAAAACAGAAGTAACGATAAGTAAGTTAAAACAGAAGTAACGATAAGTAAGTTAAAACAGAAGTAACGATAAGTAAGTTAAAACAGAAGTAACGATAAGTAAGTTAAAACAGAAGTAACGATAAGTAAGTTAAAACAGAAGTAACGATAAGTAAGTTAAAACAGAAGTAACGATAAGTAAGTTAAAACAGAAGTAACGATAAGTAATTTAAAACAGAAGTAACGATAAGTAAGTTAAAACAGAAGTAACGATAAGTAAGTTAAAACAGAAGTAACGATAAGTAAGTTAAAACAGAAGTAACGATAAGTAAGTTAAAACAGAAGTAACGATACGTAATTTAAAACAGAAGTAACGATAAGTAAGTTAAAACAGAAGTAACGATAAGTAAGTTAAAACAGAAGTAACGATAAGTAATTTAAAACAGAAGTAACGATAAGTAAGTTAAAACAGAAGTAACGATAAGTAAGTTAAAACAGAAGTAACGATAAGTAAGTTAAAACAGAAGTAACGATAAGTAATTTAAAACAGAAGTAACGATAAGTAAGTTAAAACAGAAGTAACGATAAGTAAGTTAAAACAGAAGTAACGATAAGTAATTTAAAACAGAAGGAGTGAATTGCCAAACTTGTGATAGTGAGAAACCCATTTCTCTACCATTTCTTTTAATTAAGATTTAAAAAAAAAAAAATTATACATTTCGGCGTTGATCGCTTTATATCATTAGCTCACCTACTGTCCTATTGTTAAAAGATGTATATTGCGGTTAAGATTTAAGATTTCAATTGCTATAGGTCTACTCCCATTGTTGCTACAAACTCATCTCTACGCTTGGTACACAGACAATACATTTTGTCGTAAATTTATCAAGCAAAAGAATTATTTAGGTATTTATTCGACAGTGTACCCACATTTAACACCCTAAATGTCTCTATTCATTCATCCGGTATGTAGCTTTAAGATTGGAGGTTTTTTTTGTGTGTGTTTTTTTTTTAAAAAGGATATATTTACTTCTGTCACACATTAAAATATATTAACAAGTATTCTCAAATTATTCCAGACACCACTGCGGTGCTAAACATGGAGACCGGGGATCAAACACAGGTATCTCTATTATATCGTTTCACATTTTAATTCAATGTTTTATTGGGCGAAAATTGATCAGATAGTTTACTATTGAGTGGATTTCAGCAACCGGAAAATCAATTATTGGTTTAAAAATCGATGTAATATGAACAGAGCCAAATATTGCAGACGCTAATTATCATATTAGGCAAGTGTCAATATATATTTTTATAAAGTTGCATTAAAATGTGCTGACATTGCGAGTATATCATTTTTAAAAAAAGCCGACATTGCAAGTACCCATAAAAAGGGCTTACATTTCCAAGTACCCATAAAAACGTACATTGCAAGTACCTATAAAAAGGGCCAACATTGTAATCACCCATAAAAAAGGGCCGAAATTGCAAGTACCCATAAAAAAGTGCATTGCAAGTACCTATAAAAAGTGCCAACATTGCTAGTATCCATAAAAAGGGCCGACCTTGCAAGTATCCATAAAAAGGGCCGACATGCAAGTATCCATAAAAAGGGCCGACATTGCAATCATCCATAAAAAGCGCCGACATTGCAAATATCCATAAAAAGGGCTGACATTGCAAATATCCATAAAAAGGGCTGACATTGCAAATATCCATAAAAAGCGCCGACATTGCAAATATCCATAAAAAGGGCTGACATTGCAAGTATCCATAGAAAGGGCCGACCTTGCAAGTACTCATGCAACAAAATCACACTTCAGTCTAATCAGTCTAATCTAAATTTTGGGCATCATAAAATTGATTTCCTTTCTAAAGTGTACCATTATTTTTGAATCGTTGTATGTGATCTTTCTTTCTTGTTTGTTGTTTTTTTTTTTTAATGAACAAAATGAGGTGCATACTGTTGGCTACGTGAGTTAAGACAGCTTAACTTCACAGTTTTATACTTTAGGTAGAGCCCGACACAAAGTGATTTTTCTGATTTCGGGAAAAACCGAAAGTAGGCGGAAAGTTAAAAATGACTTTCAGCCGAAATCGAAGCCGAAACCAAAAGTTTAATGAGACTTTCGGCCGAAACCGCAGCCGAAACCGCAGCCGAAACCGCAGCCGAAACCGCAGCCGAAACCGCAGCCGAAACCGCAGCCGAAACTGAAAAAATAATACGAACCCGTGATCCATGCACAAATGTGTTATTTCGTCAATAGCAATGTTTATGAG